TTGAAATGTGAGGGTAAAGTGAACTGCAAATATCAATTACCCCCTGTTCCCTCTCCTGGGCTTCTCCTTCAAGAAGGCTTTCCTGACACCCCGCGTTGAGAGAAATGCTCCTCCTCTGGGCTTGCTCTCACAGAAGTCTCAGGACTGTATATTTATCTATGGTTTTACCATGTGTCCCTATTTCCAGATGGTGGATGCCTCAAGGAAAGGATAGTGTCTTATTCATCCTTGTAATTTTCATGTCTCTCTCAGTCTCTGGTACACAGCAGGTACCCAGTTAAAATTTGGTTGGTTGAATTTCATGGATTTGCTTACATAAAACTTTTTTTTTTTTTTTTTTGGTGATGAAGATTCACAATGAGCTCACATCTGTGCCAATCTTCCTCTATTTTTTTTGTGGGATACCACCACAGCATGGCTTGATGAGTGGTGTGTGGGGCCGCGCCTGGAATCTGAACCTGTGAGCCCCAGACCACTGAAGTGGAGTGCATGAACTTAACCACTATGCCACCAGGCCAGCCCCATGAAACTCTTTGTAATCAGTCTTTCAACTAACAATTTTTGGGCATCTGCTCTATATCAGACCTTCCACCAGGCGCTGGATATAGGAAGATAAATGAGACAGAGCCTGAGGTCCTGAGAGGTTACAATTCAGGAGGGGATATTGATGGTGCACAGGTAAATACAAACCAAAATTCTAAGGTAGCAATGAGGAGGGAAGGCTTCACAGAGGAGGTGACATTTGAGGAGAGGCTGGATGAATGAGTAGAATTTTGCCAGACAATAAACAGGAAAAAATACGTTCTGCTAGATGTAGGTTTCAATTAACATTTCACTGTCTTTCATCTTACTCCAGAAGAACCTCTCTTCCTGTGTAAACTGCTATGAGAATCTTAAATATGAATGAAGGGAGGAAAATGCTGAAAAATGCTGGAAGAAAAAGTAAAGCAGGACCCAGATACCAGGACAATTTCCCTCATTGCTTCATCCTATGTTCACAGTGCAATTGTAAGCATGAAAAAAATAAGATCTAATATAATGAATAAACACAGCATGTTAATAGTACTTAAAATCTCACTGTGTAGATAAAAAAATTAGTCTCCCTATCTTTTAGCATACTCCAGTTAGAACTCATGAACAATCAGCCTGTTAGCAAAAAAAAGAAACACATGAAAACATTTTCTAAGTCAATCTGCAGAATAAGCTGTTTAAATCCCACAAATTTTATTTAATAATGCTCCTTAGAGCAGTGGCAAAAATTATAAATGCAGGGGTTTTAACTGTTACAAACTGGGTAAAAGCATCACATTTTTAAAGGCTTTTAAAACTATATGACAACTAAATGGTCTACTCTAGAACCAATTTGGGGTTCTTTTCGAGGTAGAGAAGTGATTTTTAGAAATCAATCTCATTTTCATTAGATTGATCTGATTGGTTGTATATACCTTCTAGGTTTTTTTGTTTAAATGATCGAAATAAAGATTTATTTCATATTTCAATCTTGTTACCTGAAAAACCTTGAGAGAAATAGATCATCAGACTTTTATTGGTCTAGAGAACCACAATTTCTTTTGTGCCAGGAAGGATTTGCCCTGAGCTAACATCCGTTGCCAATCTTCCTCTTTTTTTCCCTTCTCCCAAAAGCCCCCTCAATACATGGTTGCATATCATAGTTGTAAGTCCTTCTAGTTCTCTGCGTGAGCCATCACCACATCATGGCAACTGACAGACAGGTGGTGTGGTTCCGCACCCGGGAAATGAACTCAGGCTGCCAGGGTAAGAACGTGGAAGTTTAACCACCATCATGGCTGGCTTGAGGATCCACATTTTTAAAGAAAAGTGCGTTAGCTCATATTTTACACAGGGCAAGATTTTAGTAGGCAAAACAGCATGTCTACCTTTAAGCTGAAGTTGGAAAAAACTTGCCCTTTCAGCCAACAATAATTTCTACATGGGTATACTGCACAGAAAAGAATTGTAAGCACGCAAGAGAGAGGCAACAGTAATATAATCAAACGTGATGGTTATTTATGGTTAAAAGGTATCAAAAATTTCAGTGGTTAGGCAAATGCCTTCATGTTATTAATTACATGCTCCCAAGTCTAATACAATCTTCATGCGTTTTTGCAAGGTGCACACACGCCAGGTGCTTGGACTGCCAACAGCATGTAAAAAAGAAAAAAAATCATGTGTTGTTTGTATTTATCTGGTTGCAAGTAGTCGAACACTACACTGACTAAGTTGACTGGGACAAACATCTTTTAATAACACACCTTTAACAGGATTTAAAATATTCATAGGAAATGTGCGTTATTATTATTTGGCATCAGCACACTAGATTTTTAAAAATGCATGGAACTGGATATTGGTGCCACACTGCTGTAAATGGCAAATTATTTGAAAAGAAAGGTCTATTAAAAGTCCTTGCAGCCCTTTTCTCTGTCCATGAGAACCTCTCTTTGAACCCAAGCATTTGTTTCTCTGGCTATCGTTCATTTTCTGCCTATGTTTGTCTTTCTGGGTTCAGCCGCGTCACAGGCTTGTTGAAAAGCACAGTCTTGCTGGATCGCATTTCAAATACTGTTATTGGTGACCCTTTTCAGCACTGGGGAGTTTTGAGGCATTCGTTGATAAAGAAAGCTGCCTATTGATGGTATGAAATTTAACCGTGAGCAAGAGGTGACTTCTCTGTTTTATTCTGTAAGATGATATGTACAATTTCTACATTGGCAATGGTGCTTTGGTGAACGGGAGGCCCTGGTCTGGATCAAGAACAAAGGGTGATTCTGCCGTGGAGCTGTCAGCTGGGTGTTTTTATAAGCAATGCTTTGAAGCCTTGACAGAAAAACTGCTTCTGCCCAATGCCAATCTCTCAGTCTTTGTCAACTCAGTTGTACTTCCTTTCAGAGATGGCATCGATTTCCACTGACACCCAAAATATAGAGTACACTATCATCAGGTCTCAGGGGCAAGCACGGACTGGTAACTTAACCTGGAGGGGCAAATGGCCAGCCTTTGGCTCTTTGCTAACGTGTATGACTTGCAGTGTGCACATGAAGCAGAGGGAGGAAGAAGTCATCAGTTTCAGGGAAAGGATTAACATAAAAATGATGGCTGGATTTCTTGAGTTAATATCTGTTACATAATCAAGTGTTACTAATTTTTACTTAAGGAGGATGACGGGTTAACACTATTCACTTCAAATCCAGGCCCTAAAAAATCACAAAAAAGGGCAGTGTCTCTATGCACGAAAATTCTAACCAAAATTCTAACCAAAAAGTCTGTAAGACTTGTTTTCTGGTAAGATGAGGCAGGAGATAAGTTTGTTCAATGAAGGATGCTGAGCTATTCAGCACTTTGGAACATTTTGTACTTTATTTATGTGCTAACATCTTGCCTGTAGATAAGACATTGTGGCCCCTATTCAATGAGGATCACCACTGAGGAGCCCTAAGTGTTGCCGTTTCTCTGTGGGAGTAGAAATTGTGGGTGCCGAAAAAGGAAACAATTTCCCTCCTAACATGGCCTGTATGGAGCCATCACCTCTGCAATGGGTTGAATAATTATTTTCAGTTAACCTCTATTGCTTAGATATAGCATATCTAAGAAGGAGATTAAAAATCTATTTTCAGTTGTTTTTAAAAACACCTTTCTTCAAAAATCTGAGTGTGAGCTCTCCAGTTCATAAATCTGCATACGGCTGGTGACCATGCTGTCAGATTCCCCAGAGCGTATGTAACGTCCCCCCTAAAAGGGGTGTCAGTGCCTTGAGTGGTGCATTAATGCTGCTGGGCCTTGGGTGCCGTTTATGGCACTGTGCTGATAATTTACTAAATGGTCCCCTTGAGACCAAAAGGACTAGATGTGCCTTTGCAAAGTACCTAACTTGCTCCCAGGGAGTAATTATGAATTGGGAAAAATGGATGAAGTACTACATATTATTGTTCATAATGGGTTTTTTAAAATAAAGTATGCTTTAAGGAAGGTAAATAGTTCTAATTCTGTCTCATTTGATGTCTTATCCTCATTAAAATAATACAATTAAGGGTATGGTAGAAATAAAAGAATCTGTTCAATATACAATTGATATTGGTTCAAATACCATGCCTTTTGATTAACGTCTAGCCTTTTGAAAGTCACTCTGGTCCTCATTGAATATAGAGCCAGAATGGCAATTGGCCAACAGAGCAACATCTTCTAAGAAGCCTCTGATTAAAAGACTTGATAAGATTAACCCTAAAAACCTCATTGTTCAAAGATACAGTGTCCTCATTCACTCTGTATAGCTTGATTTAATTTCTAAGTTTTCTAAAAAAATTATACTGCCATATATATGCTTTTATAGAGGCAATTTGTATAAAATTAAATATTATAGCCATGTATTTATTTCCTACATACAACCTAGAAAGAACATATATATGTAAACATAACTCTTCCATGAAAAACTAGAAAATTCTCTTTATTGGTTGAATAAGGCAATCCCAATCTACTCTCTGTAATACACACAGAATCATTGCTTTCAGATTATACTTCTCTATTCTAGAGGCTGTCTTTCAGGTGCAAATAAAAGTGCAGTGGACTGTCTTTCCAGGAAAAGGTATAATGATGCTCTAAGAAACCTCAGGAAGTAATGCTCATATTTCATGTCCTTCTGCTGTCAGAATTCCCCCAAAGTAGAGAACACTGTAGCATTCGGTCATGGCGTAGAAGACGATAACCTTTCTCTTGCAAGACACCTAGTGGCACCCTGAATGGAATGGGGCCATATCATAATTCATCATGAATTACTTCTCCCTGTCTGTAGGCCTAACCCTCCAACCCTCCAAGCCCACATTTTTCTTCTTTCCAGAAAGTCTGACCACCCTTGCCCTGGAAAAGATTATTGTCACTAAACACCAAGTAAACAGGGGAGGCTTATTTCTTTGTTCTGGAAAAACTGAAGACATTTAAGACTCCCTAATGGAGAGGACATTCGGCTGTGTATTGTTCAGACCACTTACTGTCCTCTGTGGTTGTGAATAGAATCCAAGAACTATGTGCACTGCCAAATCCATTGGAGGCAACCAACCGAAACTCATACTCTGTGTAAGGTTGGAGATCTCTCACTTCATAGCTTAACGATGCAGAAGGATTGGAAAATAACCTATACGGGAAACAAATGTTAATTAGGAAGGTTTAGTCATTCAAAGAAATAAAAAATAAGAAAAATCTTATTTCAAAGAATTTTCAGAGAATGTCAACACACATTTAAGTACTGCAATTTTCTGTCTTTACATGATATCTTATTTAGAATAAGCAGCCATTTGGCTGTTTGTAATGTTGCATTTCTATGAGACGTAAATTCTAGTAGTATTGAGTAAATTCAAGTCTAGTACTGAGACTCATTGCCATGTCAAATTTGTAGAATAAGTATTATAATTTTGTAGCCACAGCTCAGAGCATTTTTTTTAGGTTCAGGTGTATGCTTGCTTTATGCAAGTCACGTACTTACAAAAAGTTGAAGGTGAAGAAATCTTAGTTTAAATGCTATGTAAACAAAAAATAGATATTTTTGCAAAGCAAATAATTCTCTCCTAAGGTATTGCTTGCTTTTTGTTTGCATGAACTTTTAAAAGGTGGCCTTTATTTGTTGCCAATGAAAACTGACCTATTGTTCAAAAGTTAAGATAAAGTAAATTATGTTTACATTGTATAACCCAAGTGACAGTTAAGAGGATGGACAAAGTAGAATGCTCACTCTAGAAATCCACGGGTGGAGCGGCCAGGCCTCATCTGGAGTTGGTATCTGGGAGAGCCGGGAGCATTGTTACGAGCTGGTGTAGACCAGACAACCTGAAGACTGGTTGGAGTGGCAGATGAAAGCCTGGGAGGCAGCACACCATCTGGAGCTGTCGAAAAACACAGATGAATTAGAGCAGAGAAAACTGTGGAGAACATATGCTGGATGGAATCGAAATGCTCCATATACTGGAAAAACTGTTCCTCAGGATCAACAACAATGTTAAACACGGTCCATTTAATTTAACATTTTCATTCCTGAACTACTATACTTCCTTATTGTTCATTTCAACACAATTACATTAGTGTTTCAGTCTTCAAAGCGGCCCCCACGCAGCAAGACAAATGAAGACGCAGCACATTCCCACCTGTACTTCTGGTTATCTAATTGAAAATACGCAGGGAATTTAGCTAAGCAAATATTAAAGTACCTTTTTAATTTAACTCTTTCTCAACAAGCAAGTGATCCGAAAGGGAAGGAGTCCAGATCTTCTATTTCTGCCATCTGTATCACCCATTGCCATCTTAATCACACCACTACTCCTGAACACGACTGGCTTTTTTTTTTTGAGGAATGTTTATGAAAATGTATTTTTCTACAATGATAAATATATGTGATTGGCTGAAAATAGCACATTCCAGTCTTAATTCTCCCCTGCGACAATACAAAAATGAAACTTCTTTCCTTGTGTTTTTAATACCCAGTGGCCCCCTTCTTACAGTGACACTGGCCTTATTCAAATATGTTACAAATTGGGCATATATGTTGCTTTTTCTACTCTAGTTGAATCGCTGGCAAATTTTTCCTGAGTTCAGCATACCTGCTTGATAAATCTATGATAGAAATCTATTTGAATAGTTCTAGAAGGCCTAACAGGAATGAGTGAAACTAAAGCCTATTCTACTAAAAAAATTGACATAATGACTCTGATTGTTAAATTAACTTTTCCAACAGGTATAATCTGAATGAACGTATCATATCAGAGTTTGTTTCAAAGCTAGTCAGAAACTCAAAAAACAAATTAAGCAAAGCTCTGTGGCTTTAGGAAAATCACCTAATGAGTCTGAGCTTATGTTTCTTATCTTTAAAATAGGGATATTTTTTCTTTGCAGGATTGTTGTGAATATCAGAGACAATGTAAAGAAAGCACTTTATTTTAGGTGCTACTAATTATTAATTGTTAGTTGTTATTATTATTATATTGGACTGATCTGAACTTCCCTTAGCATAATTTAGTGCTACTAGAATGTAATTTGGGGGAACATTCTGATTATTGCAATATAAGTTCCTAATGACCAAGGATTACTAAAGGCCATTGCTGAAGAAGGAGAAGGGGTCAAAATCGTGGAAACAAATATCAGGGTTCATTTTCAACTTTCTTTTATACATAGCCTTCAGTAGTGTGTGAGTTTTATGTACTCTCCAATTCAGGAGCATGTGCCTATGAACTATGAGGCTAACGGACGACCAGTCTTGAGAATGGAAGAATTAGATTACATGTTTCATCAATCAGTTGTGAGGGTTTTGAGTGCATCAATAATTCATTAATTTATTCCATAAACATCTATCGAGCCTCTACTCTGTGCAAAGTCGTGTTCTATGTGTGGAGGGATAAGAGCACTGGGCAAAGCAGACATGATGCCTGACTCTATGGAACTTACATGTGAATGGAGGGAGCAAGTTATGAACAAATGGGTACATAAGATCATACCAGATAAGTGCTCAGGAGAATAAAGCAGAGTAAGCAAAGAGAAAGTGAAAAAGAGGGTGCGATTTGAGCTATTCTCTAACAATTCAGATTCAATAGGAAAGCCATAGGAAGAAAACATCATCAGGTGACCTTTGAGCAGAGACCTCAATGACATATGAGAGGTAGTCATAAGAATCTCTGCAGGAAGGGCAGTCCAGGTAGAGAGTGTGGTGGCACAGAGGCAGTGAGAAGGGAAAGCTCTGGTTGTTTTTAAGGAACAACAGAAAGGCCAATGTAGCCGAAACAGACTAAGGAGAGAGAACAGAAAAGAGGTTGGAGGATAGGCAGGGGCTAGATCTCCCTAGATCCTTTCTAGGTCTCGGTCTTGAAAGTCACTGTTGGGGCTTTGGGTTCCATCCTAAATGAGGTTGGGAGCCATTGCAGGGTTTTAATAAGGGAAATGGCATGATTCTAAACTGATAAAGGCCCTCTGCTCTAATGGAGGAGGAAAGGCAAATAGAAAAAGGGAAATCACCTATTGTAGTAATCCAGGCAAAAGTTGATAGTAAGTTGGATTCAGGTGACAGCAATAGCTGGTGGCAGTGTATTTTGCTGTTTGGTTGAGTGAGTTAAAGATGATGCCAATGTTTTTGGCCTAAATACCCAGGTGAAGAGTGGTGCCATTACTGAGATCAGGAACACTGAGGGGAGAAATTGGTTATGGAAGGGATCAAGAGTTCTGTTTTGTCCGTGTTACGTTTAAGAGGTGTATCACACATCTTTAGTGGAGACATCAAGGACGAGCTGCAGCTATGAATCTGGAGAGGAGTTGTGGATCAATATAAATGGGGTATTTAATGGCTGAGACTTGATGAAATAAGCTAGGGACATCAAAATTTTGAAGTCAGGAGGAGGCCTCTACAACAAAGCAGACTTAAAGGAGTAGTCAGTGAGTTGGGAGAAAAACTAAGGGAAGGTGCAGCCTGGAAGCAAAGTACGGAAAGCATATTAAAAAGGAAGGATTGAGCAACTCTGTCAAGTGTGCTGAGAGTTTAAGGAAGAATAAGACTGAGTTACACTGTGTATTTGGTCAAGTGGAGGTGTCTGGTGACCTTGCCTAGAATAGAGGCAGGGGCTGGTCCAGTGGCATAGGTTGCACACTCCGCTTTGATGGCCCAGGTTCATGGGTTTGGATCCTGGCACTCACCTAGCACCTCTCATCAAGCCATGCTGTGGAGGCATCCCACATACAAAATAGAGGAAGACTGGCACAGATGTTAGCTCAGCAACAGTCTTCCTCAAGCAAAAAGAGGAAGACTGGCAACAGATGTTAGCTCAGAGCCAATCTTCCTCACCAAAACAAACAAACGGAGAATAGATGCAGTGCAGTGGTGGGCATGGCAGTCTGATTCGAGAAGGTTAAGGAAAGAATGAGAGAGAAGAGAATGAGAGGATACAGAGAGCACAGACAACTCTTTGGAGAGATTTTGCCCTAAAGGGGAGTAGAAAATGGGGCAGCATTTAGAGAACCTTGTGGTATCAAAGGAAAGTTTTCTAAAAACTGGGAGATGTTACAACATATGCGTGCTTACTGGAATGATCCAGAAGAGACTGGGGGAAACGATAACGTAGGATAAGAATAATTGCCAGAGCAAATTCCTTGTGTGGGAGAGAGAGAGGCAAGGCAGTGCATATGTGACTGGAATTGAAAGCCAGTGCACACTGTCGAACACAGTAGAGGCAGTCCACGCATGGTGCAGAAGTGAAGGCAGATGCTGAGGCTGCAGATGCAGACAGGTGGGAAGATTTGGTGATGAGAAAATAGCAAATATCTCTTCTGATGCTGCCCATTTCTCAGTGTGAGAAAGAACTGGATGGGTGAAGAGAGATGAAGTGGTATGAAACAGTTCTCTCAGTTGGTGGAAATGTGACATGACTGGGAAATACAATCAGATTGCCATCCAGGGCCAGCTATCCAATAACTTTACTCTAAATCTTTGGTTTGAAGGACAATCATTATTAAAGACTTTTTTTTTTCCTGTGGAAGATTCACCCTGAGCTAACATCTGTTGCCAATCTTCCTCCTTTTTTTGGTATGTGAGCCACCAGCACAGCACAGCCACTGACAGACGAGTGGTGTGGGTTTGCACCCAGGAACCGAGCATGGGTCGTCAAAACAGAGCGTGCTGAACTTAACCACTAGGCCGCTGGGGCTGGCCCACTAAAGACTTTTTAATACATATTTTATCTGTGCACACAAACAGTTTTAACAATGGTGATTTCTTACTTGATGTATCTCCCTTAATTGACTTATAACAAATGCACAAAAGAGCATGGGCCAAAAGTGAGGACAAATTGTGTATAACATATAACATATGAAGCCACGCCCTTCATTTGATTTTTTTTGTTTACTTTTTCTGCGACAAGGAATATAATGTCACTTACAATCCAAATTTTGAATAAAAATCAGCTCTAAGTCATCAACATGAAAAAATTAGAGTTTTAAATAGATACCTGAAAATCCCTTCAAGTGTTAAAAACTGCCTTATGGTGCTATTAAGAAAGAACTTTTGAAGAAGGGCCAAAAGCAGCTCCATAATAATAATAAAGTATCTTGCATTCTCTTTTGAATGATGACAAAAAATGTGCTCCATTAAATTGGTCGCACTCTGATTCTATAAAGCTGCAAAATATTTCCAAACAGAGTGGTCATCTTAAATTATTCACCTGTAACTATTTATTCTGTATGCTTTCAGGAGCACTGAATTCTGGAAACCTTTCTTTCTCAGCTGGTTAACCCCTTTTATCTTAGACCTATTCCTTAGAGTGTCCTTAGCACCAAAGCAATAACTGGGAGCCGGCCATAATTCCACCCCTGGTTTCTTAACAGAAAAGCCATGTATCTATCAGTTTGATGTATTGTCTCCAAGATGCTATGTTGCTCAAAAAGCTTCTCTCAAGTTTAATATGACCCTCACGGGGCCAGCACTCCACAGACAACCTCCTGAATCAACGTATCTTGTCCAGTAAATACGAATTCTACACAGCAACTGGATAAAACAGCGACCCCAATCCATAAATTCAAAGGAAAGGCATTTTTAATAAAATTTCAAATTTAACCCTTTTGGGAAGGCAAAATGAATACAAACCACAAAGCAATAAATTAGATCATAGGTTGGACTAGTCTAGATGGTATAATCTTTTGAATGCATTATTTTATTAAACTTTTAAATGATGTATACTTGTGGTTTCTTTCCTATCTTTAAAAAAAACCAAAAAAACAAACAGAATGTCCCAAATCTACATACAGATTGATAGAACTCTGGGGGGAGCTCTAAAAAGCAAAAACAGAGGCTTTTTTCCATGTGGCCAGTGACTGCCAAGGCTGTAGCAGCCAGAAGAGGAGATTTGTGGGGCAA